ATGAAGCTGACGCGGAGGTGACACGCTACATATTCTTAAGTTTTGGGATCGAAGGTTAGATACAAATAAAAAAAACTACAATCAGCCACAACTAAGAAGCTTTGAAGAAATTTGAAAACAAATTAATCGAATAAAGGTAAAAGCTTTCAAGAGACATATTCCGATACGCAGAAAACAAAAAAAAAGAATCGTTACATCATTTTCGCGCAAACCTCATAAAATTGGCAAGCCGAAAAGAAATTCCATAATGTAAGTGGATTAACAAATACCAAATTCCGTGGATTCCGCCTGCAAAAATCTGTAACGTAAGTTTTGTGGGCACATTTGTTGTGTGGTGGATTTCTCAACAAGCCAATTAAGCTAGCTGTTCTGGATTCCGCAACTATAAATGTAAATAGAGTCTGCAAATGTAAAGGGAATCCGCAAAACTTGTATACGGAATCTGCAAAAGTGAGCGGATTCATGAACTGCAAGTGGATTCCGAGTTTTGTTCATTACTGAATTTGCATAACAACATTTAAAAGCTAGAGCTAGAACTCTTATAATAGCGACGGGGAATTTAAAAGCAAAGAATTAACAATTGTCAGCGGAATCCACGAACAAAACCCAAAACTTTTTTAAACTAAAACGGTGAATGTCAGCTTTTACTATTTTGCAAACACAACACCCAACAAGTTCAAATTTGGATTCATTGGGTTAAGAGTATTCGGAAACACAACGCACAGCATATTGCCAAATTAGGTCAGTCTTTGGGGTTGCACCAATCCAAGATACTGGTTTTGGAAACACTACACCGAATAAACGCAACACCGAATAAATTGTGTTTTGGAAAAACACCGCAGAGCATATCGCCGAGTTAGGTCAGTATTTGGGATTGCATCAATCCTAGATACTGCTCAGTATTTGGGGTTCTATCAATCCGAAATACTGATCTAGTAAGTTTCGATTCTATTGATTTCATGAAAGCAGTATTTGAGATGAATCGAAAGTGAAATCAAATCATGAGGGCAATTTTTTTGTCTGAATATATGATGCTATAACTTTCTGAACAGCTAACTCTCACTTAATAAACAATTTTACGGTTCTAAATGTCTTATTTTTTTTCTAAAATTGTGGTGACCACCTAGTAAATAAAGTAAATATTTTAAAACGCTATACTACATATATACATATATGTGAACGGAATCCGCAAACAAAAAACGGATTCCACTTACAATTTGCGGAATCCGCTTACAGTTGCGGATTCCGAAACAACTCAGTTTAAATATGCACATGTTTTTTTATACGTTTTTAGATTCCCCAAACTGTTCTGGAATCTGCAGCAAATATGGTTGAGGATTCCGAAAATTTGCCTATTTTTGAAGAAATTTTGAGCGGTACAGTGTTTTAGGTATTTGTTTGTGGAATCCATAAGAGCAAAAAAATCAAATAAAAGTTGCGTTTTTGCGGATTCCGCGACAAATCTGATTTTGGCCTGTTGCGGATTCCGCTTACAATGCACAAAATGCACAGTTTGGTCTCGTAATGATTAAAAAACAATTTATTTCTACAAAGCATTTAAATTAGAAATAATTTTGATAGATTCATTCTGATATAAACTCATCTTGAGTTTAGTATTAGTAAAAAATTTAATTTTTTTTTATTTTCTATCGAAACTTTCTCGAATTTGCTCGGAATAGTTGAAACATATATCGCTTGGGTTGAGCAAAACTGAGCACGTTTTTCTGGTCGAGACGGTCGAAGCAAACCGAGTTATAGTCGAGACGGTCATAAAACAAATCGCTTTTCTGTCACAACGGTCAAACATTTTATGAGCACCTCGACTCAGGCACCCTTGATGGACCCAGATTACACAACTGGGATTTTATGATTTAGGATCTGAGTACATTGGAGCCATATCATTTAGTGCAGCCGGCAGATCACAGCAAAACGTATTAACCATACATAGTGCATGGCAGGAAGCGACACAAAAACCACCTTTGAAAAAGCCAACATGGACAAAATCAGTATTTTGAACAGGGAATACTACACTTACTCAGCATGGACTACAACGAATTTATAAAACTTTTATAATCAAATATAAATTATAAAAGATAGTTATTACAAAATCAAATTTTGTAAATTTATAAACTACAAAACGATTTTCAATAAAAAATGAAATTGCTTAAATAAATAAAATTTGATGTTTGCATTTTTTTTGTTTTCGAGAATTATCCATTTTAAAAAAGTAAGGAGAACATCTATAGTCCGAAATTTGACATTTTAGAGAAAAAAACTTCCAAGCAAAGTAAACAGATTCCTACTCAAGACAAGTGAAAACCAAAATAATTTAGAAAATAAAAGAAAGGTAAAAGAAAACATAATTATATCATAATTGAAATATTTTCAAAAAAACTGCGATAAAATAGTCATATTGATCAAAAAATATAAATCAAGAATTGCGAATAAAATAGATAGACCGAATATGA